ATCCTAATAGGGATGGCCTCCATCCTAATAGCTATGGCCTCCAACCTGACAGCGATACTAAAGATACTTACAGTAGGTTGGCGCCGTGGTAGGGCATTGAAGTTGTATTACATGCATCAACCCACGTCTAATTATGTTGGCGTGATGACAACTTCCGCCATGATGGCTGCTTCCATGGGCCACAGCTCGCTCCGCCAGGATGTCAACAGTGCGGAGGCCTCCGCAAGCACTGTTCCAGTTTGCTCAAACATGAGTGGACTCCGACTGCCCCGACTGCAGCACCCTTCCTCTAACTTGTTTTTGTCGGGGACTTTTGACCAAAAGAGCGAGGCCGGCTGTTTGCGTCAGGCGTAACCAAACACTCGGTAGACATACTCGAGGTCAGGAGAAGAGCATGAGAGCCAAAAGAAAGTTCTAGCCTTTCTGTGCCCAACTTGCCAACCCGGCAGAATGAAGAACCGATCTGTCTGTTCATGTCACCAGAGAAGAAGGTACTTGTATATAATTCCATTTAAGGAAGATACCAAAGTGAGATCGATACCTTGCAAAGTCAGTGAGTCCCGAGGTGAATGTATTGCAATCCACCAATCAGCAATACTGCATACTGACGCTGGTCAGCGTACATCACGAATTTTGCCCTGCCCGGACTTGCCCCCCCTAACAAGCTGTTGTTTTCGATGAAGCAACGCACATTACACTTTCACAGCATCGATAGGGTTCATCCTTCCCCTCTGAGCCTTCAGCACAGTAACTCATGGCCTCGCAAGTGAGTGGAGCGAATTTCTGCGACCTCTGAAGCCAATGTGGGCAAAACCTTAGCACCCTTTCAACATGGAAGTGCATTGTGCGTGTATGTGTTTTCAGAGATGCCCTGTCAGACTTCAGTGATATCTCTGTCGGAGTGGGCGTCTCTGCCCATGGATCATGGCCTTGAGAGACTTCATTTCCAAAGGCCATGCCAAAGCCATCGCAAAAGGCACCAAAGGGCGCTGACTGTTAC